GATTTATTTGATCTTTACGGCCGAAGCCCGGGACTTTACACACTGTAGCTTTAGATAAAGCCGCCGTAGCGGAGACGGCGGGAACAGAAGGAAGACGGAAGCGACCGCGTTAGGACAAATTCATAATTTAAACCAGGTTAAATCCACAATTAATAAAACTAACTGTCTGCTCACCGGGGGCGCTGCAGAGCGCGTCCAAGGTTGGTGGGATTTATGCTGAGGACCAAACGCTATTGTATTATAATTACATCACAGTTTCATTTTTAAGCGTCAGGTCTGAAGAGCAGCAGGAAAAACACACGCCGTGGTAGAAGCCAACGAGAAGAAGTTTGATTTAGAAAAAATAAAATGGTCAAAACACTAAAAGCTAAAAGACAGACAAGAAATCTGACAAGAAATCCAAATAAATTCAATATTTTAGCTGTAATAAAAAACAAAAGGACTAAAGCTGAGCAAATATAACCTCAGTAAAAATGTTCAAATTATCCACGGAAAATATAAAAGTGTTGAACTGAAACATGAACCAACTAGAAGAAACCATGAGCTGAGAATGACCTGATCTGAGAAAATACTGAATACACACAGTATATGAAAATGTACACAGAAAAATCATGAACTAATATATGTATATAAAGATATATTTTATATGAGAGTCATCGTTGGTTCTTTTCTCCCTCAGATCAAAGGTTCTGTGTTGTTTACAGCTGCGTCGTGTCGTGAAGAATTCAAACCTCCAACTCCGTCTTCTGCGTTCATCTCTTTGTTTCACACTTGTTCTAGTTTCATGGTTGACTCTTGCCCCCCCCTTCCTCCCCTCATCCCCCTCCTCTCCCACTGATCGAGCTGAAAGCCAAGCAAATCCAAACCCCTTGTTGCTGCTGCTCCGTCTCACAGAGTCTTTTAAGTCTTAATCTCAGCAACAGCCTCCACCAGTGGACGACTTTCCACCGTCTTCTGCTGTGGATTCACTCCACTCAAGCTGCTTGGAACTGGGTTTTTTTCCCTTCCTTTTCCTTCCCTCCACCGTGACAAACCCTCCAGTCTTCGGGGAAAGCGTCCAAAGTCCACAGGGCGGCCTTACAGCGCCCTCCCCAGGGCGTTAGCACCTGCTGTCAGTGTATCAGCACAGATGAGACGGAGACGAGGCCGAGGACGGGAGTCTTCATACGTGAACGGAGCCACGCTCCCTCACTGACAGCTCCGCTTTTATCTGCGCAGGTTCAAGGCCAGGACGGAGCTACTTTTTTGCGCTTTGCACTTAAAAACTACCTGGTCGGTCTTCTGAGAGGAGCCTGTCACCCCGTCCTCATCTTCTCACCCACCAGCACTCACACCAAACACCAAACCCTCCTCATGTTTCCTCCTCGTCTCTCTTCTGGAGTTCTGTCTTTGTTTGTCCATGCATAATTCTTTCAGGGTGGCTGCGTCTCCTCCTGCCTCCTGGTGGGAGAGAGAGTGCTCTGCTTTTTTCTCTTTGACTTCACTGCATCCACAGAAGCAGTCCGCGGAGTTTTCTTTATTTTTTCTTAGCAGCGCAGATAAGTGGGTTTGGGAATGTGTTTGTGAGTCTGGTGCATTTTAAAGGAGAGTGGAGTGTGGCACCGTGGGTCCAGGCCTTTTTCTTTTTCATATTTTTAAGCACATAAGTAAACAAATAGTGCCGAGAATATTTTGTCAACAAGTCTTGAAGTCGCAGAGCAGACGTGTGTTTGTTCACTGCTGCGGGCGTGGGTGTGCTGCTGCTGCTGCTGCTGCT